AGATCCACGGTGTCTTGAAGTGAGCAACTATGAAATAACTTGTCCCTAATGGAAATTTCTCCCTGATTCTGTTAAGAGCAGTTTTTCCCCCAAAATTTGAGAGTTTACGTCCTTATTAAAGAGCTCATCTGTGGGTCTCAGCAATGCCATGTGGCACTGCACTGCCAATATTTGAGAGGTATTGTCCTCCAATGTTTTTGCTTCCTGCCCTTAAAGGTCGTTGCACGAAGTTCTTGCTAACACGCCCCCATATAAAGAGCATATGAGCTCTTCTGTGTCTCTGTGAGTGTTTGCAGCATTTTTCTTGTGATGGGGTCTAGACTCAAGTGCTCCTTTTTGCCTCCTTCCGTCATTTCTTGGTGGATGTTTCCAACTCTCCCACTTGACCAGCCTCATGTGCCAGGGTTTCCAAGATGATCTGGATAGGAAGTGCTTTGCTGGAGAAAATCACCTATTCTATAGCCACACTCGAGCTAAAATTGTAGCAATAACGACAACAACAAAGTAAAACAGTTTCACAAATATACAAGGGAGAGATGCAGATAGATTAGAACAATCTGTGGTTTTGAAATCTGTTGAAATAAAGCAAGACCACATTAATATGTCAATGTGCAAAGATAATGAATGCAAACCACAGCGGAAATTTGTGCCCTACATGTTCGTATTTCCCCAATTACATGCGTTATATAACCATCTTCATCAGTGCCATGTGGTGCCCTTGTGCCACTCGTACACCTTGTGCTTAGTCCTTGCAGGATCAGAGATGACTGAGCTGCGGGGAGTTGAGGAGCGGGGAGACCATCTGCCTTGCCCTGAGGCTGGTGGTCCTAAAGGGTGGCAATGTCTGTGGGCTTTGCCCGAATACTTTTCTGCATTGCCACCTGTGTTTGTTCCAGCTGGAGATGATGAGTGTGTTTTTCTCACTCATGACACTTCTGAGTAGCAAGTTTAGTGAGAGGGACAGGGTTGGCTGGTGCAGGAGGATGCCAGCACCGCGCTGACCAAGGTGTCAGCACTCTCTGCTTTGGTGGCAGCTCAAGCTCTTCAGCCTGGTGAGACCCGCTACAGTAAAGCTGGTGGTGAGGGACCCGCTCCTGAGAAGGGCTGGGATCAGGTGCTGCTCATGCTGAAATCTGTAGGACCTTAATTCAGTTCTCATGACAAGAGGCTCTAGCCCTCTTTGGGGTGGGAGCAACCTGGAAAATGTGTACTCCTGTTTTGATTGTGGTTTAAAGAAAACTAATCCTTAAGTCACTTTTCAGCCCTGAGGTGTTCCTGCCTAATGGAAGGAATGTCTACTGCTTCCCACTAAAGTGAAACAGTGTTGTAACTTTTCTACAGCATAAATTTAAATTTTTCAACCAGCCCTAGTACACAGCTGTTTGCCCTGTATTGTGAACTAGGGGATTTGACAGGGTATGTCTTAACCAAAATTAAACCTGTACACTTCCTAAATACACCTGTATCACATTTGGGTCTTTTTCTAGACAGCGCTTTTCTAAGTTTAAATTCTTTCCTGTATTAGTCTGTCTGGAAAATTTTAAAATAGGGTCTTGAAACAAACTTGAGTTGGAATTTACTCAGCATAGAAACACATATTTCTAGATTAGTAGATAACAGTTACAAGAGCTGATCTAATTAACTGCTATTCTGCAGATTTTATAGAATCTATTTTATTTGTATAACAAATGCCTATCGATTAGTGGCAAGCAAGTGCTAAAGCAAGTTCAATTGCATTTTATGTTGTGTGCTTAGTCAATAAGTCATAGGAAATGTATACTTCACGCTGGGATGTTGCAGTGGCTATTGAAGCACTAGGATGCAGGATTACCTAATGCTACTTAGCAATCAGCATCAACAGCATCCATAACATGCCTGCTGTAATGCAGCTGTCTTAGTTGCTTAGCGGGGCCTAACAAATATTTGTCAGAGGATTTTTATAGTTATTCTATTATACCTCACAGGTATAATTCAAAACTGATCTATTAATAATGTATAAAATAGAAGCATAAAGCTATTTTCTGTATAAATGTTCCACACTCTGGTTTATTCCAGTGAGTGAATTTACCTTTCAAGAACAGAAATGTAAAATATATATGGGTCATAATTCTCAGCAACATTATTTTTTACTGTCACTTACAAAAATACAAATCTCTGGTAAAAAAAAGAAGAAGTAAAAAAAAGTTGGTATATTGTTATAAAATAAATGCCTAAGCATTCTGGAATACACTGGCCAAGAATTGCCAGAATCTCAACGCAGTGTAATCTTTTATAAATACCTCTCTACAAATGTGCCTCTTCGAGTATCCCTGTGTATATTATTTAAATCCCAGAGGGACTTTAGAAAGTGTGTGCAGGAATGGAAATCCTTTTAAACGATAGTCTTTTGTATGGGAAGCTTTCTGAATAGGGAGGTCTGATCCCGCCGCCTTGAAAACTGGCAGGGTTTTTGCAGGAGTTGTACAAGGCACTTGGTGGTAGAGAGAAAATTCCACCACCGGTATCTGACTCTGCCCTCAGAAATAAATGCAGCTCTGTCAGTTTTCTATGGGAAAATGGGAATGGGAACGCGAGAGTGGGCACAGTCCCATGATGTCTCACGGGAGTAACCTGGAGGCAAATCTGACCCTTGGCTCATGCAAGTGTAAATGCCCACTTGCTTAGCTGAAGCAAAGCAAATTTGATTTATTGCTCATAACAAGATCCTTCAGCACCAGATCCTGAAAGTACTTAGGTCCAGCTTTGACCCGAGCAGCCCTTTTGATTTCACATGAATTTGGGGACATAATGTTAAGCGAGTGTATTTAGGGAATTTTTTCTGTTTCTTGCTGTAAGTTTTTTCCTTCAGCCACTACTTCCACTGGGGGAGTTTATCATTTGGTTGTTACTAGAGATATGATCTCCTTAAGATTTAAGTTTTATGGGCATGTTAATTGAATTAAAAGATTAATATACAGTGCAAGGGACCAAGGACATAGGCGATTAATCCTGAGAAATAAAACATGTTCGAGTTGCATAGAAGCACTATAGGGCAAAAAAAACCCCAGTACTGACAAGAAAGGTTGTTTTTTCCCCCAACAACCCTGTCAGCTATGGCTGTCAACAATAAAAAGAAGAAAACAAATAAATTGGAGGCCATGTGTAAGTCATAGGACCAGAATATAAATACACATGACATGGAAAGGAGTAAATAATACTGACGCTTTCTTTAGAAATGTTCTCCGGCAATACCCCATATTCATGTTGTACTGAAATGACATGAAATAAAACTTTATGGGAAAAAGTGTTATTAATCACATAGGTTCTTGAGGGACATGACTATTGGTGTGTTGAGAGGCAGTCTTCCTTTGCAGGGCTGCTGTCTAGTGCCTAACAACAACATAAAGAACAATTTGGTATTTTACGCATCAGATCATAAAAGAAATGTGTTTAACGATTGCTGGCATTACTGCAGGTCCAACAGTCCCCCCCAGAGCTGAATAATCCGGATGCAAACAGCACCGCCATAGCGTGCAGAGAGCAGGAGGGGACGGGACTGTGAAGGACCCCCATGCTCCTGCAGGCTTCTCTGTGGTGTGTTCCCATCCCTGAGCAAAGCCTGGCCCACAAAGGCAAATTCCACTCCTCTGAAAGCCTCAGGTTAATGACAAGCCTTCAAAACCTCCAAAGTAAAATGAAAGCAGAGGAAAATATAGATTCTTGATGTAATCACTGGGAATTTAATAGCTATCATTTAAAATCAAGGTTCTCCTTCCAAATAGGCCAAGACTTGTTCCTTGTCCCATGTGAAGAAATGACATCTGAAAGCACGCTGGCTCATCTTGGCTAAGGTCCCCACTAAGGCTCATTACACCTGGCCCTTTTTCAAAGGTGTGATATGAAGTGGCATAAAAAATGAAAAATGCGTGCATGCCATCAGCTCACCTGGTTTCTTTTTGGAGGCATGGATTCCTCTAAGTGTAGCTTCAGCCACCACCACCAACCTCTCTTTCTGCAGGTGCAGTCGGGACCCCTCTCATTCGCTGATCCAGCCCTGGTAGCCCCATGGTGGCCCAGGGAGCCCTCACGGGGCACTTGGGGACCCAGATCGTCTTGTCCAGGCAGGGGAAAGTTGCCAGAAAGCAGCAGTCTGGTTGTAGAGCTGCTGCTCATGTGTACTACTGTGAGATTTTCTTGCTGGTCCTCCAAAAAGGTGGGAGAGGAAGGCACTTGACCAGAGTGCTTAGCACTTTGAGGAGACCCAGAAAACGCTGCTTAAAAAAGAAAATATTTACTAGGCCATTTCCTCAGAGTAGGATCTTCATTCTTTACGTGACTGGAAAATGCCTACCAGTGAATATCTGCTCCTGTAAATAAACCTCAGTCTTCAGAATTAATAATAAAGACAGCTAGACAAATAATAAAGTGCATAAATAATTCTCCATTATTGTTAGCCTTCAGCAGTTACTGCTACAGGGCCAAAATGCCATCTCAGGTTACAGGAGAGATGTCTTCTTTGGTAAGGCGTCCACTCTAGGAGAGGTTAAAAACATCTGCTCTACTGGGCTGCTTCTTATGCAGCGACAGCTATGGTTACAACCTGTACTGGTAACATAAAAACCCCACCAGCATCCAGTAGGACAGTGTTTTGGGGGCTTGCAAGCCCAACTTCATAAGCCTTCTGCTCCTTTTGGATAGTTACATGGAGAAAAACTTGAAGCGCATTCTGGAGGCTATTGCTGGGCTGTGTCTTTGCAGGTCTGATTCCAAAAGACCCTCTCAGTAACTTCTTTCGTGCTTCTCTGTCTGTAAAGTGAATGTTAAAGCTCTTCCCTCCTCACAGCTTCATCCACACATACCAGGCTCTTACACGCATGGATGTAGCCCCTACTCAAATGACTTCACTTACACACTGCTACTTCAACTATGGTCCTGCTAAGAAAGAGAAGTGTTTTGGCTTGAAAACAAAAATAGGTATTTTTTTTAAAATGTTGACGTATTTTACATCTCTTCCCTTGCAGGTCTGTGCGGTATCCTTAGTGGGATTTGTTATGCTTTGTATTTCGTACCAACCTGATGAGAAGACCTGTATACAGTTCACAGTAAAGGTACCTCGACTTTTAAATTTTTTCTTCTTCTCATGTTGTTAAATACAATCAGAAAAGTTGATACTGGGGATATTTTTAAGAAAAGAAGTGAAAAGGCACTTAAATGCAAGAATGATTTTCTGGTATTTTCCAGGCAGCCAAGGAAGAAACAAGACTATAAAGGGGAAACTCCAATAACAAATATTACAAATGAGAACAAGATACAGTTTTATTTGCCATATTTTAAGAATATCAAAGAGATTCAGATCAACAAAGCTGCAATATTTTAGGAAGTGTTGAATGAAAGATTGAGGGTTACTGATTCAGTAGATATTCACAGAAAGCTGGATAAGAAGTAGGGTGGCATAAAATGGATTCACTTAAATCAAGTTTTAATGTTTAATGTGATCTAAGAAGCATCTCAGCATCTTCCAAGCAGTTTTTGCTCCTCACCATGAAATAAGAAACTGCACGGGCACAGGCAAATTAAAAAGTGTGCCTGGAAATCTCTACCTGCCCACCTCCATAACCGGGGAGAGGGGGGCTGTACCTGAGCACTGGTAGCCACTGCTCAGCGGATGGCGCCTTGTGTCACGGTTGGGCATTAGAGAACATGGGAAAGCATCAGCAAACCATGGGGACCAGCCTTCTTCCATGGACCAAATTCCCACTTGAGCATTGCAAGAGAGGTGCAGAAACTGTGCACCATGCCTCACCTTGGTCCCCAAAACTGTGCTTTGTTGACACTGGTAAGAAACTAGAAAAGAAAGGGCTGAGAATGCTTGTTCCAGATGGGACATTTTTTTCTGGTCTGCTTTTCCTCATTATTTTAATTTTCAGGGCTCTTAATATTTTGCAGACACGTAATAACCAAGAAATATACTGATGCAAGCAACACAGAATAACAGCGATTATTAACTGAGAAAGGCAGAAGGAAATCAAATGCAAGAAGTGGCTTTTTGAAACCTGGCATTCATCATTCCTTAGAAATTAGACTCTGGCATGTCCCTTGTGCCTCTCTCAAGCTTCTCCTATACTTACATAAAGAAAGAGAGAAGAACAATTGTTTCTGACTTTTGATTGCCTTTGCATTCTCAACCCATTACCTTTACAACCAGAGTAAGCCTTACAGCTGCCCAAGGAGCTGCTGGGCTGGGCGGGACCTGCCACACCAGGCTTTTTATTGCTTGCTCTGCAAGCATCCAAGCAGGAAAGGAGTCATCCCTCCTGGTGGGAAAGGCATGTCGGGCTGGGCAGCTCAGATGTCTCTGCCACCCTTAGCAACACCACCCGTCTCACCCTGGCAGTGAGGAACTTGAGCCATCACCCCTGCAAGAAAATAAATGTTTTGAAAGTGCTCCCCAGGAGATGTAAAATGGGTTATTCCTCATCATTTACCATCGTTAGAGCTAAAGTCTCTCTTGAAAGACTTCTGATTCAGTCGATAGCCCATGGGCTGTTGCCTCCCCAAAGCACCCTCCTCCCCAAAGTCCACCTGCCCCATGCTTCCTATTGCAGCATGCCACAAAAATCAGTCATTCCCAAGCTGTTCACCTCTCCTGTCCCACATCCCCACTGGGAGCTCTTATCCCACAGTGCTTCCCTCCTTGCTGCCTCTCTAGATGAACGGCTTCTGGCTGCAGAGCATGTACCTATTTTAGACAAAACAGGACCTAAGAGCCTCCTCCAGGGCTTTGACCATGCAAGACTCATCTAAATCTCCAGTATCACTTCTCAGATCTTCAAATGTCAGTTAAAGGCTATCTCTGAACAAAAAAAAAAGAACATTAGGTATTCAGCAACAAGGCTGCAGATGCAAAATTACAGTCATGAGACAAAGCTGAGCAACTTGGGTTGTTCTCTCCTCCTCAAGGGCCTGGTGCTTCACCCAGCATTGTAGTTGGGTTCAGCAACTTGCTCCCCAGGCCCTACCCTCACACCAGTGGCTCGTGTCCACTGAGGCTGCTAAGTGGACATCATCCTACAAGAAAATCTTGGTCCAGCTTCCCTGGAGTGTAGTAAGCACCCCAAGATCCCTTGCATAGCCCAATGGTGACTTTGTGAGGAGGATCACATGTACAAGTCTGGGGTATATTGGTCGACCTCCAAGGTGACCCTATGACCACTGTGAGTGACTCCCTTAGAGTGGGAAACGGGAGGAGATCCATGCAGCCCTCTCTGCCTTCCTCCCGCTCAACAGCTGCTTCCTTCTTGTCACACGTTAAAGAACTGCTTTTGGCAGAAGTCCCTTTCCTGAGACTACTGCAGATATCCACAGTGCCCCATGCATCAGTGAGAAAGGAAAACCACCACGGCAGGGGATGGCAGCTTTGCCCTTCAGGAGGACAATGACGAGTCCCAGGTTGAGTTTCTGCCCGGACTCCACCTCAGTATCTGCAGGAAGCATGCTCTGCATGCTCTGCAGTATGGCAAAACAACATGCCCAGCTGTTACATGCATATTTAAAAGCAGAGATCCTCTTCCCTTGGACAAAAAAAAAGAAAGAAAAAAACAACACAGGAAAAATCTTGACATCTCCCATGGACTTCCTGGGCTATCTGCTAATATTTAGATCACTCACTATGGTCCTCATCACAGCATCTTCCTTGGTAGCGTGGCACCATCTACTCCTGCCCAACCAGCCCCGTCAGCCCACGCCGTGACACACACCGCGCTTCCTGTTGTCTGCATGCTCTTGTGCCTGAGCCACCACTGCCTTCAAAAGGCGTCCCCTGGTTTCACATCTGCAAATCCTTCTGGTTTCACCTCTGCTAACTGTGAGAAGCCTTTTCCATGCAGAACTTGATCCTTCTCAGGTTGTTTATTTTCTTTTCGGCACATAGGAAAACCATTGCCAGTAAATAGTGCTGTAATGTTTCTTCCTTATATGAGGAACACAATGGAGGATGAGCTGCCATGCTCTGACCTCATCGTACACTGTCCCTCCCCACTTCCCTTTTATCCTTCTATTTAAATGGCAATCACAGTGCCCATCTCTCTAGAGCTGTTAAAAAGCAGCTTTCCAGTGGCAAGTTCTGGTTCCTGGGCAGAGCTCACTCTGTGGTTGTATTTGCAAAGTTGCCTCCAGGTCTGGCATGTGATTAATCTGCTGATGTGATCTCAGCACTTGCTGTCTTGTGCTCCCTCATAGGCAGTATTTGCATTTGCCTCACCTTTGGTATTTGGAAACGTGTTCATTTTCAGCCGCTCATAGAGAGATTCCTCTGCAAACATCTTGTGAGAATAATAAGCTATTTGGAAATTGCCCTATGTCCCCACTTCCCACGGATCTCTGCCTCTGAGGATTGCTGAAAGAGCTGTCCATGTATCCAGACTTTGAGATTTCCTTCGTTTTAGGTACACAACAGGCAAATTCTTGCTTATGGTACTGGAGTGTAGTGAAGGCTGTGGATTTCATGCTATTTTGTCCTGACTTTGGATAGAAGTTGGAAGGTAAATAAAATAACTGCCAAGGGAGAATCAGGCACATCGTGTAGTCTCGGTTTAATATCTCATTTATTAGGGAGGCCTGATTCTGTCTTCCGTTGGTCTGAATCCAGACAGTCCACTAGGACTTTCACATTACAGAACAACTTTCATCCCTCAAGGAGGAATGGTCATGAATGTTTGTTCATTCTCTGTTTTCCCCATCAAACACATTTGCACCATCTTTGGAAGAAATGCCATCGGTTTACAAATTACCACATCTTTGTTTGGAGGGGGTCTATCAGTCAGTAGCACTCTGTTTTCTGTGTGTTTTATATGAGGAGGTGTTCCCATTTTCCAACTTCACCTTTCCCATGGACCTTTACCTTGAAAGCTGCAGGGAGTAAGGAAATTGCATTTAATAAGAGCCACCCTCATTTTGAAGCTGCCACTGGTTTAAGGCTGCAGGGGAAGTAATTAAATGTAATAGTAGCCAAGTCTTAGAAACTAAGATCTTGCTGGAAGAATACAGTGATATGGGGGAGAAAACATATATAGTGCTTTAAGATCTGCAAAAAGTCCAAATATTTTTTTTGTAAAGTTGACAACTAAATACGAAGATTGATTCACACTGTATACATAAGACAAATAAATCAGGAGCGTGAATTTTATCAAGACATACATACTTGGAGTTTCAAGGTCATGAAAAGTGCTTTTATATTGATAGTTTGCTTGTGGTATTGAGGCTAAGAGAGAGAGAAAGAGAGAAGCTGCTGTTTAAAATAACAGATTGCCAACTATGCCATGTGTCTGACATATAAGACGACAAGAAAAATAAATGTTTTTATGGTGTTGAACAAAACCAAAAATGCTACTTTGGCTAAACACAGACTATTATTTTAATGCACATTCATACATAATTTGTATGCAGCACAGCAACTACCACATGCTCTGGTATCCAAAGGTCTCAGGTGCAACCTGGAGTGACAAAGGCTCTGAGTTTCTGCTGGTTTCCATGAGTTTGTGGGGGTGGACTCTGCGGAGATACCCCTGAAAGAAGCCACTCTATTTTAAAGCTGACACTGGTGCAAGGAGCCGTGGGGTGACAAGCAGACCCTTGTCCTTCTCATGCCATAGCATCAGGAAATGACAGGCATTCGCTGCTCTTTCACACATTTCTCCACGTTTATGGGGCAAGCTCTGAAAGGAGATGGAGCACAACATTTTCTTGTGGAGATTTTTCCCCATGGTAGGACCTGGGAAGAAAGCAGGCTGGCTGCATTCTCAGGGCCACAAGCAGGAGAACTGCCACCTCACTGCCTGATTTGCAAGTGTAAATCAGATTTGTTTGGGCATGCAAACCAAGAGATGGGAATAACACATGAGCAAGGTTTCAAAAACACCTACCCCTCAGCACAGCCTGGATAAGATGTCAGCCCAAGCCTTAGTCTGCTCAGCTCTGCTTCGAGGCAACTGCACTAATTTATCTCAGCTGATGACTGCAAGTCTAGTCAATGGAGGTACAATCGCAGAGGAAGATGGTCTCTCCCGCGCCGTAAATCTTCTGGCTGTATAGAAACACAGATTGCTTGGTGCTTTCATCAGATCTTGAAATTGCAAGGCAATGCTCATATAAAACATGCAAGGCAGAATTACTAGTTCTTGAGATGACCTGCTGCACTTTGCATCCCCAGGGACCTAGAGCTGTCTTACAAATTTTGAAGCACACAATGTCCACATAGTACACTGAATGCATCCATTCCCTGTGAAGTACATGTGCATTCTCAGAGTACCTGGAAAAAGAGTGTTTTAAAATTGTTTTTCTTCTTTTATTTTTCCTTTCTTTCAGCTGATGTATTTTCTCCTGAGCGCTCTGGGTCTGGTTGCCTGTGTTTTGGCAGTGGCTTTTGCTGCACACCATTATTTGCAGATGACAAAATTTACCTGCGACAGCATCCTCGAGTCCTGCCAGTGCAAACTGGACACTGCAGACCCCCTTGGTAGGACCTTTGTCTACCAGGACGCAGCTGACTGTGGCAGCCTCACCAGCATGCTCAACCTGTACTTACTTCTGCAGATGGTTCTCAATCTGATCGCAGCCCTGGTGTGTCTGTCGGCATGCTTCGTGATGTGGAAACACAGATATCAGGTCTTCTATGTGGGCGTTCGGTTTTACCCTTTAACTGCTATTGAAGGCCAGCAACAGAACGTATAGGGTCTTGGCTGGTCGGGGATTGCAGCCAAGGAATGGAAAATGTCAGCATATTGCCACCGTAGACACTATGGACAGATGAGTGTTTCTAAGGCTTTTGACAAGGAAAAACATTCACGCGGTTTTAATGAATATAATTTTCAATCATTTGAAGAGCATTTCATGTGGCTGCTCTTGAAAAAGACTTTTTATGTAGAGGCCACAAAGCCCTAAAGATGCAGCTGTACAAATACTGACCAAGAAGGACCTTTAATAGCCATAGACAAAATGTGAGCTTAAAAAAGCCATTAAAAACTCATCTGCAGGGCTACAGCTGATAAGAAATAGGGCCCCTTTCCCTTGCTGCTAGGTATCTGTTCTTGCCTTCAGAGAAGCTATACTGATTTCTACCAGATTAGGCTCTGGTCCAAACTGCTTAATTATGATTATGCTGACCATGCTTAGGGAATATATTGTGTCTCAGATGTTCTGAGTATAATTGACGCTAACCTGATGGGGATTTACCATATAGAAAAGTAATAAAGGAGGTCAAGACCTCTTCAAATGCAGGTTGAGACCAACAGTAAAGTGAATATATTGACAGCTGCCATATAAAATATGCATAAGACTTTTCAGAGTGACTAAAGATATAGGTTATCTAATCCAATTACTAATAAATAATAATATGAGTATGTTCACTAATAGCATTTTGGTGGGCTCTGCTTGAGACCCTAGAAAGATTTCTGAAGTATGAGTGATTGGCACTTTTTGAGAAAGGGTTAATTAAAGAAACCTTGAGATGTGCTCCTAAAGTGGAGGACCCTAAATCACTAGCCACATTGAAAACTATGTTGACATCGCTTTAATTGCAGTCTCCCAAACCTGGCGTCTAGCCAGTTCCACCAATTATACTCCAAGCACAAAAGGCCAAGTGCAATTTTGGTGTAACTGCTCTAAATACAATCAGTCTTACACACCAGGAGTGGAGTTGGGCCAACAGCCCTGAAAGTTATAACCCTACAACAATGAATTTTTTTAAATGGGGTGGAGGGAGGGAAGCAAGAAGAGACTGCCAGTCTCCCAAAGACATCTTTTATGATGATGAGGGCAAAAGAATAACGATTCCTTAATAAGCAGCATAGAATAACAAACCACATTCAAACAGTGCTTTTTCACCCTGAAAGTGTGGCTCTGCAAGTGCTTTCTATCTTGTTAGCTTTATATCACGCCAAGTGTGTCGGTTTGCCCCTTGAACTGTCATTTCCACTTGCACAGAGTGGACTTCTAAATGGAGGAGCAATTCTGAAATGGCAGCATTTTGCACTGTCCGTTGTATGTATCTGTGCAAGAACGAGGCAGCTGGTCCTCACGCCCTGCCATGACTAGGGATTTCCTGATCACAGCCAGAGCAAGGGTGTCTCTAAGTTAGGGTGGAGGAATCACATACTAGAAAAAACTGGGCCATAATCATTAGCAAGGAGGAAGGAAATAAAATTTCTATAAAACTTCAAAAAAGAAACAAACCTTCAGTTTCTGCAGCAAAAATAGCTACCAGGAAGTCAAAAACCCAGTCTGGCAAAAAGATAGTTGTCTAAGTAGCTCTAATCCCGTCCAAAAACTGTCTTCCTTATTGTAATCACATGTCATCCCATGGCTAGACCAGTGTACCTCCAGAGTCAGAAGATCACAACATAGTTAACTCTCCTGTGGTCCACCTAGAGCACTGTTCTGTCTACGTGCTTGAGTTTTTGTCATGGAAAGTGCCTCTAAAGTAGACGTAGCATCATCGAGGTGCTCTCTGCCAAGCTGAAAAGTAAGGAGCTTCAAAAAATGAAGGCTTTTGAAACCAGTTTCCAAAGAACCTTTTTTTTTATGTACCTAAAAATAGCAATCACTAGTAACCGTGGCTGTGAGGCACATTTGCAAGGGTGCCTGTTTGCTTGCCTAAATGTCGCCACTCATCTGAAGTCTGAACCCTGGCTCCCAGGCATGCTTGGAGCAAGCTGAGACAGCAGCAAAGTGTGCAGGCGCCTTGAAGATGTAAGACCCAGCCACTGGCATCGACAGGGCTGTCCATGCGGTGGTGGGGACCAGCTTGTCCTCCTCTGATTCCAGCAGATCACGCTACGAGCAGCATTTCTGGACCTCTGCCAAGGCCAGCCCCCAATATGAGATGGGTTCGTGGGGGTGCTTCTCACCCCCTGCTTGTATTCACATGTTGGTTTGCCCCCATCCCTCGCACGACCCCGGCTATGCATCCTGTGCAAGCATAGGGCAGAAGATATATGTTCCTCCCACCTACATGACCCTTGCTGCGCCTTCTCCTTCCACCAGCCAGAAGTGTGGGCTCTCCTCTCTGTGAAGAATATAACAAGAAGCAGGAAAAGGATTTAGGCAAGGCTGAACGGCATCTGAGTTTTGGGGCTTCCTCCTGCCCTCGCCACCAGGTATGGAGCCCCAACATCAAGAGGAAGACTACTTCCCACTCCGCCCTTTCCCAAATATCCATGTTGTTCAGAAGATAACTTGATCTGCAAGGCTCTAGCTTGGGCTGCACTGCATGCAAACTAGCAGCAGTGAGCTGCCCTGGGAGCTGGCTGGCTGGCCCTGGCCAAGCAGCATTTCTACTAGAGCTGGGCTTTTGTCTCCCTAATCCTCTGACCTCCATCTCACCCACATGTTTTCTCTCTCCGAATACCATCACCTCCTAGGCGCTGGACTCTTGGAGGCCAGCCCCTGTTACATGGGGCTGGGGTTGCGTTTCCTGGCCTCAGCCTACTCATCTCTGAGTTTAGATTTGCTGGGACTCCTCTAGAGCATGAAAGACAGTGCAGTGATGATCACAGTAGCTGCAAATGCCTTCAGCACCGTGACGGAGAAGAGAAGTGAGATCTGGATAAGAAAGCCTGCTCCAATTTAGCAAGCTGTGCACCCCCACAACAGCGCGACGTCCACTTCAAACCATCATCGCCAAGTTCAGTTTGCTAATCAGCGTGTTGCAGCTTGACGCTTTGCTCTGGAAGAAAGCAATATTCAGCGTATATTCTGTTGGTGTTTTAATGTTTAATGAATAAATATGGGGCATTTTCATCTAGCAAAGACTAACTTCTGTATTTTCTCTTTATATATCTCAGGAGCATAAAATCAAAACACCAGAGATGGGGAAATGGATACACTAGCACTGGGAACTGTTTTTTCCTGGGTATGGTTTTACAACACATATTTTGCTCAAATCAAGAATTTCCAAAAGTACTAATTAAAGGATTTTCACCTACCAAAGCATATTCAGACAGCTCCCAGCCTTTTCCTGGTGTCAGAGTCCACATGGACTGCACCGGGAGAAAGACTGGGACAAAAAGGCTTGGAAAGCACAGAGATCTTGAAGGAAAAAAACCTTTTTTTTTTTTTTTTTAATGTCCTGGAAATATATTCTCTGGGCTAATTCCACAGAAAGGGGTAGGATTAAACTGCTACGGACACAGAATTTGCGAAGAGCTCCATGTAATTTACTCTCACAAACCCAGGTGTGATTCTCATTTGCACCCTGGCCACTTTACACTGTTTTCCCAGTGTAAAAGGGTTGTAAAGATGGCATCAATCATTTTTACACCTACTTTATGGCCATTTTATGCAGCTAAAAGGGCCCTTTGTGTAAATGAGAACTCAAGCCCTAGAGAATTTAATAGAGAGGAGATCCTTTCTATAGACTGCACTAGACCCTCTAATAGGGTCTATTACTGGGATATAACTCTTCGCTGAATTTTATATCTTGACTTAAAGATCCTGGGTCTCGATTAAATGCAGTTCTGCAAAACTTTTTCAAAGGCCATAACCCTCCGGTGACATGCCGGCTCCTCCACCCTGAGCACGTGCAGAGGGTGATGGTGTTGCATGGATAACTGCTTGTTTCTTAAAAGGAGAAGCAGCAGCTACCACTTTCCTCTGGCTCTGAGGCATTTCGGGGTTGTGCTTATGCAAATACTGGAGTGAGAATAACGGCAGCAAAAAGGGAACCGAGATGCAGAGCCTTACACCCAGCCAAAATGTCACAGTCTCGGCCCCACTGAAGTGGCACCCACTCCTGAGGGGAGGAGCGGCAGGGGGTGGCGC